CTGCTTGTATTTTTATTGTTTGTAACATTTAGACTTTTTAAACTATTTATCTTTTTTTTTAGCAGATTTTACCTCATTTAAATGAATGGGAAAATTGTACTTCAGCATACTTTCAGCTATCAAAATGTTCAGCTCCTCAAGGACATTCATACTACTATGCAGAATTTTTCTAAACTTCATACTTTTGAAATATTTAGCTTTATTTTGAAAGTTTTGCCCCATACAAATGAATGGGAAAATTCTACTTCACTATACCTTCAGCTATTTCAGGTGTCAAAATGTTGAACTCCTCAAGGACATTCATGCTTCTCTTCAGAATTTTCTAAACTTCATACCTTTGAAATATTTAGCTTTATTTTGAAAGTTTTGCCCAATTCAAATGAATGGGAATATTCAAATTCAACATACCTTATGAGCTATTTTAGCTATCAAAATGTTGAGCTCTTCAAGGACATTCATGCTTCTTTTCAGAATGTTTCTAGACTTCATACTTTTGAAATATTTAGCTTTATTTTGAAAGTTTTGCCCAATTCAAATGAATGGGAATATTCAAATTCAACATACCTTATGAGCTATTTTAGCTATCAAAATGTTGAGCTCTTCAAGGACATTCATGCCTCTATTCATAATTTTTCAAAACATCACACTTTTAAAATATTTAGCTTTATTCTGAAAATTTTGCCCCTTTCAAATGAATGGGAAAAATCTACTTCACCATACTGTCATGTGGATATGCCTTTCAGGTGTCAAAACGTTCAGCATTTTCAGGGCGATCCTTCACCACACCGTATCCACATGCATTTACAACAGGAAATGCATTTCTCTAGTTTATTATTATTATTATTATTCTGGGATCTTCCACCCTTTTTTTGGCACTTAATAAGTCCAGCATACTTTCAGCTATACAGGCCATTGAGGTCTCTATCTGTTCAACTCTTCAAGGACATCCCTGCTTGTATTTTCATTTTTATAACATTTATACTTTTTAAATTGATTCAGCTTTATATTTTGCAATACAAGTCAATGGAAGCTCAAAGTGCTGAGTCAATTACACAGTCTTGGAGTGCCATTTGGTGGTTCATAAAATGCAGCGCAATTGGGACATGCCCCAACATAACTCCTCTCTGTCCCCCCCCCTTCTCACACACACATTCACACCTGCTTGTTTTACCTCCTTTGTGGGGTCCACTTGGACTGTTTTCACATCTTAATAAATTCAGCATACCTTCAGCTAGAAAAGCCATTCAGGTATCAAAATGTTCAGCTCTTCAAGGCCAGTCCCTCTTTTTTCATCTCATCTTTCAGAATTTTCAACAAAGAACTTCAGCCATTTCTTCTCAACTATTTCAACAAAGAACTTCAGCCATTTCTTCTCATCTTTCAGCTGTTTCAGCAATTGATTTCAGGCATTTTCAGGACAATCTTTCAGCTTATAGCATCCACACGCATTTTTTTTTTCAGAAAATGCATTTCTCTAGTTTTTTTTTGTTGCTTTTTACTTTTAATAAATTTGCAAATATTTCAAACAATCTTTTTTCACCTTGTCATTATGGGGTATTGTTTGTAGAATTTTGAGGACAATAATGAATTTAATCCATTTTGGAGTAAGGCTGTAACATAACAAAATGTGGAAAAAGGTAAGCGCTGTGAATACTTTCTGGATGCACTGTAAAGGGGTGGACATGGTCAGCAACGATACTCAGGCAGGCTGTGGCATTTAAACGATTCTCAGTTGGTACTAAGGAGCCCAGAGTGTGCCAAGAAAATATCCCTCGCACCATTACACCACCACCAGCAGCCTGAACCACTGATACACTGCAGGATGGATCCATGCTTTTATGTTGTTTTATGCCTAATTCTGACCCTACCATCAACATGTCGCAGCAGAAATTGACACTCATCAGACCAGACAACATTTTTCCAATCTTCTGTTGCCCAGTTTTGGTGAGCCCTTGTGAATTGTAGCCTCAGTTTATTGTTTTTAGCTGACAGGAGTGGCACCTGGTGTGGCCTTCTGCTGCTGTAGCCCATCAACGTGTTGCTCTTCTGCAAACCTCGGCTGTAATGAGTGGTTATTTGACTTACTGTTACCTTTCTATCAGCTCAAACCAGTCTAGCCTCTGGCATCAACAAGGCATTTTCGCCCAGAGAACTGCCACTCACTGGACATTTTCTTTTTTTCATACCATTCTCTGTAAACCCTAGAAATGGTTGTGTGTGAAAATCCCAGTAGAGTAGTAATTTCTTAAATAGCCAGACCAGCCTTTTGTGGTTTGGCTGGAAGTTCAACTACTGGATGGTCCCCATCTATCACTGATGAGTTTACTCTTCACAGCTGGAATAGGTTGTTTTTCTAACAGTGGGACACTTTTTTGTTATTATGCTTTTGCTGTTCTTTGTGCATTATTTTGCACAGAATACAGTCCATAATGCATACTGGTCCCAAGGTAACTGTTTATCAAGACAAGTGCTGTTTATAGAAACACATTATAGCAACAGATAAGATATGATGGCCTTAAAGTTGACCTGTGAAGTTTTAGACCTTGAGTAGCACTATGGAGCATGTTTCATTCATATGGATGATACGATACACATTACTGCCAGTGGCTGATATGAAAGTGACTAAGTGGCAAAAATACGCAGTAATGTGTCAACAAAAGCAATGAAGAAGACTGCAATCTGGGAAACATGAATGGAAAAATTACAGGATTTAAAATGTTCAAAAACTGTGCTTTGCAGTATTTTCAGCATGTTTATTGGGCCTCAAGGGTACACAGTGTGTTTGGTGACAGTGACTATAAACATAATTTTCTTTTGTTGAAAACTCCACAGGATTCCTTTTAAAAAAGGGACATTTGTAAATGTAGTCACAGGTAGAGAACATCACTGGATTGCCTAATGCCCAAATATGTCTTTTAAGCTTAATTTGAACTCTAATGTCTGTATGTATTGCTGAGTGCAAAATGTCTCTTGTCTCTGATCGACCTGGTATGTAAACTTCTACATTAAACTAATTTCTTTCAGTTGGCAGGGGAAGCCCAAGAGCTGTTCTCAGTGCGTCATGGTCCTGTGCGAGCTGCACGCATTCTGCCAGCACCTCATATCAGTGAGTATCTTCTGTATCTTAACTCTGCCTAAATGTGGAACTACCAAACTGTGAAGCACATACTGCATATTCTAACTTTAAATGAGACTTTGATCAGTATAACTGGATGTTTATTTTAAAGTTAGTAATATTGTTGAACTATCACTAGAGAAATTAGGGGTATGATGAGCAGTGTTGTAGTCAAGACCACTTAAACCGAGACCAAATCAAGACCAGGACCAAGCAGTGCAGTTGAACTGAATTTGGTAGCTTAATAATACTGGCTTGCCTGTGTTTCAGTGACACTAATGACACTATACAAGTCACTTTATGGTAGTGAAGTTGTTGAATATTTTTCCCTGTAAAATTCCCAAACATTATGCAAAAACTGTTTTTTCCCCAAATTAAGAGTTGTAGTATACCCAACAAGAGACCTTTAATATGTGAAGTGGCTGTGGTGCCCCTAGACTGTTACTGAATTTTTCCAGTAAAATTTCCCAAAATTATGTAACATCCCCCCCCCCCATTCTTTAGTATAATCAACAGGAGGCCCCTGATAGCTGAACTGAATTTGGTTGTAAGACTACTACACTATATGAGTTATTTCAGTTATTTAATATTTTTGTAGTAAAAGAGCACACTGCAAAACAGGACTGCCATAAAGTCCCTGTGAGGAGGACATCATAAGTGCATATGATCACGTTGGACTACTCTTAAAACATCATTTATCATTACATGAAATACAATGAATGCCTAGTATGCTGCATAATATATCACACATATAGTTACATGTAACATGGCGCCTACCGAGGCAGACGTGTTTGTGTGTTCCACTCTGCCGGCATTTTCTTCGTTTTCTTCTTTTCCATATTCTATCTGATCAACTTCTCTCTATTAACAGGCTATGTTCTGCAGGCTTGTATGGTTGTTGTAATTAAACCTCTACTCAGAAGGCCTACACTTGTCCCAGGTGTTCTAGTTAACAATCTCATATTTATTTCTAAAATGCTTGAAAAAAACTGCTGCAAAGCAGTTATGTGACCACTTGCACAGGATTGATTTGCTTGAGGATTTTCAGTCCGGATTTAGAGTCCATCATAGTACAGAAACTGCATTGGTGAAAGTCACCAAGGATCTCCTCCTGGGATCAGCAAGATGGCGCCCTCCGAGGCAGATGTGTTTGCGCGTTCCACTCTTGAATGCTGGCTTTTTTTTCTTTTTTGTGTGTTTTTTACTATTTCTGCAGTGCACAAATGTCATGCACTGCTAACATACAACAAACAGGCATTGCTGGATATCACCAACTCACACAGCCACTGGGAATTTACTGGTTTCATACCACCGGAGCTACAACTCATTGTTTACTCCCACAACAATGATCAACCCCAGGAAGCCCCTGAAGCACCAGGCACAAGCAAGTAGGCTGAAATCAGGAGAGCGACCCAGAGACAGAGACGCAAATGGGGCAAGAGAGGAGGGCTCCATGCTAGGCTAAAAGCTCGGGCTGCCCGACTGCCACTACCCAGCCTCTTCCTAGCTCATGTACAGTGGAAAACAGATTGGATGAGCTAAGAGCTAGGATTACAATACAATGGGAAATCAGAGAATGCTGTGCTCTAATTCTCACTGAGACTTGGCTTTTTGACAAAGTCCCAGATTCCGTGATTCAGCTACAGACCCACTCTGTACATCAGGGAGACCACACTGCTGCTTCGGGGAAGGTAAAAGGAGGCGTTGTGTGTGTATGTGCTTATATAACTCATGGTGTGGAGGTGTACGGACTGTTTATAAGCACTGTTCTCCAGACATAGAGTTTTTATTGATGAAATGCCGGCCCTATTATCTAGCAAGAGAGCATAGTGCTGTGTTTCTGGCTGCTGTGTATGTTAGCCCAAGAGCTAATCCCTCTGCGGCTCTCAGCAAACTCCATGATGTCATCAGCGCGCTAGAGACATGCTTCTTTTATCGTCGCCGGCTACTTTAACCAGTGCAATCTATGGACTGTACTTCCAAATATTACCAACATGTGAACATTCCCACCCGGGGCAGAAACATTCTGGATCATCTTTACAGTAACATACAGGGCTGCACCCCACCCCCACCTTGGACTCTTGGACCACATTTCTTTGTTCCTGTATCCAGCTTACAGACAAAGACTGAAACAAACAAACCCTGTCACCAAACAAATTAAACTCTGGACCCCAGAGACTGAAGGCACCCTGCAGGACTGTTTTGCCCGGACAGACTGTCAGCGTACAGGATTATGCAGAGCATGTGACCAGATACGTTAGTACCTGGCACCTGTATTGACAACATTGTGCCCACCATACAAATCAGGAGGTTTCCCAACCAGAAGCCCTGGATAAACAGTCAGGTACGCCACATGCTGCGTGCTCACTCTCATGCATTCAGATCAGGCGATGAGACGGAGTACAAAGCTGCGAAATACAGACTGAGGAAAGCCATCACAGCGGCCAAGAGGCAGTACAGAGAGAAGTTGAATGGCTTCTATTTTACTGCTGACTCCGGACGGATGTGGCAAGGCCTGCAGCACATCACAGACTACAGCACCAGCATCATCAGCTCCACAGACAGCCTGCCGGATGACCTCAACACCTTCTACACCTGCTTTGAGACCTCCAGCCTCACCACAGAGAGGAAGCATGCACACACCTGGACCCCCAACCCCCCATCTTCCCTCCACTAACTGTCTCACCAGCCCAGGTACGCAAAGTCCTGAGGAAGATCCACTCCCGCAAAGCAGCAGGACTGCACAACATCCCTGGGAGGGCTCTCAGGGCATGTGCCAGTGAGCTGGCTGATGTTCTCACCGCCATCTTCAACCTCTCCCTCAGCCAGAGCATCGTTCCCACCTGCTTTAAGACAACAACCATTGTCCCCCTTCCCAAGAAGAGCCTGGTCACCTGCCTGAACGACTACAGGCCAGTGGTACTCACCCCAATCATTATGAAGTGTTTTGAGAGAGTGATGGTAGCCCACATCCAGAGCAGTATACCGCACAATCTGGACCCTCTGCAGTATACCTACCGGCCCAACAGGGCCACTTCAGACGCTATCGTGGCTG